TCCTCCCGAGCCCTCCCGCCCCCGGCCCCGCCCGCGCTCGTTCAGGGGCGGAGACAGCGAGCGCCGCCGGCGCTGGGGGCGTGGCAGCGTGGGCCTGGGGGCGTGGCCGCGGCCCGGCCCGCCCAGCGCGCGCTACTTCTCCGGGCCGGCTTACCCGCTCTCGCCGCGTGTCTGCCTTCCACCTCCTTCCTCTTGCGCAAAGGCTTGTAGGAACTGTGGTCGAGAAATCGCGGACGCTCTGCAAAGCACAGCTGATGCTTCTGTTCAGCCCCTTCTCGAGTTTTTACCCCCCAAAACCACAAATAGGACCATAGCTATAATACGGCTCCATTCTCCACTGATCCCTATACTCTTGCCTAAAGTAGATCACCTTCCTGCTCTGCTCTGAACGGTACCAGCCCAGGCTTTTCCTCTCTGGTCCTCCCATGTGGATGTTACCCCTTGTATAATAACTTGCCTGTATCTCAGCCCGCCTTCCCCAACTGAATCCTGCGTAAGGAGGGTAGAGCCTATGTTAATCACCACTGGAGCCCTAGCTCCTAGTGAGGGCTTGCCTGCCAGCGTTTGGGAAGTGTGCGGTGTGTTCTGACTACAGAGCTGCGGCCTGATATGTTGGAGCGCTGTTAATTCGATAAATTTTTTTTTGAATGAGAACATCAAGTAGTCTTTCTCTGGACCCAAGGTGAACATCTGTAAACCCAGTGGGAAAGTTGGCCCACCTGGGAAGGTTTCTAGTTTGCCTCTGGAGACCTCCCTAAGAGCACCAAGTGCCCATGACCTGGGATGATGAAGCTGGGGGCGGATACCGGTGTCAGGGCCCTGTTAGGGGTGCCATCTCTCTCTCATTCATTGAAGAGATAAACTAGAGAAATAATAATAATAATCTTTGATTGCAAACCTCCAGTCTAATTGTAAAGAAAGAGATATAAGTAGATCATTACAATCCAATGTCCAGACAGGTAGAAAATAAAATAATAGAAGACTTATGGTGGAAGACAAATTCAGGTTTGGATATACACAACTTGGTATAATAATAAAGAGGAGCTAGATATAATGGAATACCAAGAATGGATTGCTGAGAGCCTTGTGCCCCAGGTATAGGCAATAAAGGCATACACTGACTGTAGAGAAGACTTAAAAATAGACTCCAAGAAGGTTTCCTTTTTTTTTAGAGAGAGGTTTTTGCTATAAGGTGTGTGCGCTTGCCAGAGAGAGAGCGAGAAATCATCCCCCAGGGGGGATGGCCACGCCGCAATCCTTTCTCCTCCATTCTCCTCTTGGGATCTTTGACACGCACGCACACGCAGCCAGCATGAGTTTAAGCCACCGGGTCCAAGACTTGAACCACGGTTGATAAATGGGAGTCCAGTGACGTAGCCATTACGCCATGTGCTGGTGCTGAAGATTTCGTTTTAATCATATGCATCACAAAGTCTTAAACATTGTGATAAAATACTCTTTTTCACACAAAATCTTTCCTTAGTCTTAGTTTTACAATTGCTATGATTACTATTGAGGAGTTTGAGGGGATTTTTAGATTTTTGCTATAGGGCACATGCAGAGAGAAACAGTGATTCAGAGAGAGAGAAAATGAGAAATCACCCTCTGGGGGTATAGTACACTGCAATCCCTTCTCCATTTTCCTCTCAGGATTGTGGACACACACATACACACACTCACACACACACACACAAGTCTGGCATGATTTTCCAGCCATGGGATCCAGGACTCAAACAACAGAATCAGCCATGTGAGACCCAGTGACTTAACCACTGCACCACCTACTGGCTCACTTTGAGTATTATTGGGTTTTTTTAAGAGTTATTTTTATTTGGGGCCTATTGGTGGCATGGTGGTTGATTGCACTGGATTCCCACATGGGCTACTGTGTTCTGAGTCCTGGTCTGTAGGCTTGCTGTCTCACTTTCCCTTTCTCTCTGTCTCTGTGTCTTTCTGGTCAAATTTTAAAATAATAAAATAAATGGAATTAAATAAATAATTATTTTTAAAATTATTTTTATTGGGACCAGCAGTTGGCATAATGGCTATGTCACTGGACTCCCATGTAGTCAACCATGGTTTGAATCTCGGACCTGGTGGCTTAAACTCACGCTGGGTGCGTGTGTGCGTGCCCAAGATCCCGAGAATGGAGGAGAAGGAGGAGAAGGGATTGTGGTGTGGCCATCCCCTCTGTGGAGTGATTTCTCACTTTCTGTCTCTGTCTCTCTATTTCTGGCAAGCACATGTACCCTATAGCCAAAACCTCTCAAAAAATATTTTTATTTAACTGTATTTATTATTATTATCTTAATCTGAGATACAGAGAGAGTGAGGGAAAATGAGGAAGCTTTCCACCAGGGCCGGACTTGGACTAGGGGAGCCACGTGGGAGTCTAGCGCCCTTAACCACCATGCCAACCGCTGGCCTTCCAACTATTGAGTTTTATTTTTTATGTATTTATTTAATTCCATTTCTTATTATATTAGTATTATTATTTTAATTTGACCAGAGAGAGAGAAAGGGAAAGCTAGAAAGCAAGCCACCAGGTCCGGGACTTGAACCATTATCAGCCATGGGAATCCTGTGCCCTTACCCACCACATCACCTGCTGGCCCCCACACTATTGAGTTTTGATAATAACTTCAGGAATACTTGGTGTATTTCCTCAGTTTAAAAGTAAATCTTTTGCATTCTTTTTGTGGAAAACATGGACGTAGGTGCTGAGGAGTTCAGGCCAGCCCTCTCTTGCTCCTGCCTCACTGCTGTTCACTCTCACCAAGGAACTTTCACCAAGTCAGTCAGGAAGCCGTGCCACAGCCATGGCTTTTAAACATACTGGAAAAGCACCTGTGGGGCCAAAGGTGGCCATTCACCAAATTAAAATTACTTTAACCAGCCACAACGTAAAGTCCCTGGAGAAAGTGTGTGCCAACTTTCAGAGGTGCAAACGAAAAGAATCTCAAGGTGAGAGAACCAGTTCAGATGCCTACCAAGACTTTGAGAATCACAAGAAAAACACCTTGTGGCGAAGGCGGTAAGACATGGGATTGTTTTCAGATGAGAATCCACAAGCAACTCATTGATTTGCACAGTCCTTCTGAGACTGTTAAACAGATTACTTCCATTGGTATCGAACCAGGAGTTGAGGTTAAAATTACCATTGCAGATGCTTAAGTTATTTATTTTAATAGATTGATTATCAACTGTATATAAAAAAAAAAAAGTAAATCTTTTGAGATTTCCACTTCCAGCCAAGATGGAATCTCAAGGGTCACATTAACCTTCCCAAATGAAATAACTAAAAATACAAAATATGGAATAATGGTTTTTAAGGCATTGAACATCAGGCAAAGAAGAATGGTGATTCCTGAGAGTCAGGAAATAAATGGAGTAAGCACCCTCAAATGCCCCGGTTTACTACCTCGCTCAGAGTGTCCAGGATTTGTGATAAGCAGGAAAAACCAGGAGGAGCCTGGTGGTCTCCCGGCGTTGAGAACTGGGAGGCTGTAAAAGCCAAGCAGCTAGAGGTTGGCCCAGCTACCACGACCAGCAGTGGAGAGTCATCGCTCCGGCTAGAGCTGCACAGAAAACCTGGGTTCAACTCCCTAGGCCAGCCAGGACGGGACAGGCACCATCTGTGATCCCAGCTCACAGGGAGGCAGGACAGAGGATCTTGATGGTGAGACACTATTAAAATACCTATCTGTACCTCCTTCCCCCCGCCTTCTGTCTCTCTTGTTCTCTTATTTAAAGCAGCAGCAGCAGCAGCAGCAACAGTAGCTAGAGCTCAAGGTAAGAGTTCCAGAGGAGAGAGAGTGGAACCAGAGAAAGCTTTTTATTTATTTTATTTTTTTAAGGTTTTGCCATAGGGCACGTGCGCTCACCAGAGAGAGATAGTGAGAGGTGAGAAATCATCCCGGGGGAGAGGGGGAACAACCTCGCCACAATCCCTTCTCCATTTTTTTCATTTTTCTCTTGGGATTTTGGGCACACGTGTACACATGCGCCAACGTGATGTTCAAGCTGCAGAGTCCAGAACTTGAACTGTGGTCAGTCATGTGGGAGTCCATGCCACCTGCTGCCTCCTCTAACACTTTTTAAGCAGTTTCTCTTTGACAATGATTTCAGCCATTTGACTTTATTCTTGCTCTACTGTGGTTTTCTTTGTATTTGTCTGGCTTAGGATTCAATGACATTCTCTAACTTGTGGGTTGCTATCTTTCATCAGTTTGGGGAAATTTTCTTTTTTAAAAAATAATTATTTTATTCTATTTGTTATTTTTAAAAAATAATTAATTAATTCCATTTGTTATTATTATTTTTTAATTTGACCAGAGAGAGAGAGAGAGAAAGGGAAAGCAAGAAAGCAAGCCCCCAAGTTCGGGACTTGAACCTCAGTCAAAGCAAGCTACCAAGTTCAGGATTGAACCTTTTTATTGGGGCCATGTGGGAATCCAACGCCCTCATCCACCATGCCACCTGCCAGCCCAATTCAACCACAATCTTTTCAAATCCTCTGGGACTCCAATTACATGCATATATACAATTATTTGACCAGGGCCGGCAGGTGGCATGGTGATTAAGGGCACCGGACTCCCACATAGCCAACCCTGGTTTGA